AAAAAAAATATATATATATATATATATATATGTATATATATATTTATGGAGCTCTCAAATTTGGAAATACATATGATGAGGTACAACTCTACTGCTGAGGCAATTTCCCCATGGTCGTCGCTAATTTTAATGTGATTTTTTTATAAAAAAACTATAGTTGTAAAAATATGGTGTTCTATACATTTATAATATAATATATTATTATATAATTAATTATTTTTATTTACAAATTTATTTATGATATATATATTTATTTAATATAAAATTATAAAAATATAATTTTACATAATATTATAATTATAACATTATTTTTTATTTTTTAAATGATTAATTATAATATTTTAAAATATTTATTTATAAATTAATTTTAATTATTTAATACTAAATATAAAATATTTTATAATTATTAATTATTTTCAATGATTAAATTAAATTAAAATTTTGATAATTTTTGATAATTTTAACAAAATTAACAGTATCCTTAACCGTTGCCAAAACTACAACTACAAACAAATTTTTTCCATCTTCGTGAGCTCCTCGTAAAAATGATTTGAAACATTTTACATATTTTTTAAATCTTAAATTTGCTGCCACTTGCAATTTAAAAACTTAAATGTATTGATAAAAAATATATAGTTTTATATATTAAGCTTAAGGTTTAAATTTTTCATTCAACATTTGAATAAATTAATTTTTTAAGATGTATTAAATTGTAAGAAAATAATACACTTTAAAATTTTTTAAAAATAATAAATTTTGATGAATGTAAAAGTTTATCCAATGATTAGTATAAAAATATAATATAAAAAAATGTTGCTGCCAATCTGCTGATGGATGGAGGACCACATTAATTTAAAATTATTAGCCTATTTATTTATCAGAAATTACCAAATTACAATTTTTTGATAATATTTTATACAATAAATATGAAGTAAATTGAAGTTACTTGTTAGATACTACTAGCTAGTGAGACAAAATATTGGACCTAAATCTTTACCAATCGGTAATTATTTAGTAGTAGTTACAACTTAGGAATTAATACCCTAATTATTTATGCTGATTTGCAGACGCGTTGTATTGGGCAAAACATTTGAAATGAAAATTTTGAAGTCTTTGAGGACTGCCAATGGCAGCCTAGCACTAAAAATAAACAGCATTTAGAAGTGAAAGGAAAGACAATCACCAGCATCAAAAGTGATTTCCTATATTTTTGTGTGGAAGAAAATTACTACTAAAGTTCAATTGATACCCACTTTCAACTAATTGTGGGCAGAGACAACCTATAATGAATAAATTTCAACCAAGTAATGAATACTTATGGAGGATCAAGCAGGCCAGTGCTGACTTCCCTAAGGCTTGACAAAAGCAATGCTTTTTCCTCAACTAGGGGGAAGAGGAAGAACATTATGAGGTCCTGCTATTTTTTAACTGTCGTGGCTATTAATAAATTTATTTAAATATTTTTAATAATTATATATATATTTGTTAATAATATATATTTTTTAATTTTCAATCGTTAAAATGTCTTGATTTTCTACAATAAAATCTCTTTTATAAATACAAGTATTTTTTTTTTTCTTTGTGAGTATCATGAGTTAGCTACTTAATAATATATATTTTTTTAATTTTCAATCGTTAAAATGTCTTGATTTTCTACAATAAAATTCCTTTTATAAATACAAGTATTTTTTTTTTCTTTGTGAGTATCATGAGTTAGCTACTTAAAATGATTAAAATGATAAAGGTTTAAATTTTTAATCTTACAAAAAAAAAAAAAAAA